AATAATTTTTCAACATTTAACATCTTTAGTTTTCTCGGTGGTATCTGTTATATGTACTAGCATATTTTCTAATTTCGGCGCACGCTCTGGTTAAAATAGTCAAGCTTATCGATCAAATATGTTCTGCGCATGCAACGATGTGCACGCGAATTCCTAAAAAGGAAGGTCTTCTGTTCAATACGAAGGTACACGATGCGAGATATTCGTTCGACACGTTGCAAACTGTACTTAAAAAAAAACTGGGTTAATGTCGCAAAGTTATATCCACTGTGTTTTGCGAACAGTTTGATATCGCTGAGTCTATCGAAATATATTTGTGACACGCAAACGTTACCGGATTACGTCCATCGATAACGTGATAAGACGATCAGATTTCCAAGTTACGAAAGACGTCAAGCGTTGACGTTTCTCGTGCCCTAATGAAAAAGGTACATTTATAATTTTCTTCCCCTTATAAAAGATGCGTTGAATAATTTATTGTTTGTGAATATAAAAGTATTTTGAGAATCGAGAGATGCATGATCTAGAAATAACAATTATTAAAGATTATTCGATCTGGTTAACAATAAGTACGTCGAAAAGCTGACGAAGCGGAGGAAAATTTCAAGTGCATCGGCAGGAATCATCTTTTCTATGTTTTAGTCTCGCTATTCAAAGAAACATTTGTACGTTCTCACTACCCCGCCATTTTCTCCCCTGCGGAATACGCTGTGGACTTGAAAACCGCGTTGCAAGGGGACAAGTTTGTTTCGTGCGAAAGAAAAAGGTCGGTCGGTAGATGAAAAACGTGGAATTCTTCCCGCGAGCCCGAGACGCGATAAGAGTCGCTTTTTCAAATCCATTCCTGCGAAAAGCAGGGCGTGCGTATTTAGTTTTGTGTAAAACACGCGGTATTGCGTCTTTTCATTTGACTGTCGACAAACATTATTTTCACTTACATACATTCCTGCTTCATTTGCGATCGATTTGTACACGGTCTCCATTATTTTCGCTCTCTTATCTCATTTCTCGACCTTCTCGAATCTATTACCTCCTTCTGATCCTATCGTCCGACGGTATCGATCGCGATGTACCCATATACTTCTCTTTTCGCCTCCTTGATAAAAGAAGGAAACGCGCCTCGCTAAGTAGCGGCTGCGTATATGAGCACCCTTATCTTACCATTGCTATCAGTCGGCAGGGTCGCGTTGTAAGGTTGTAAAGCACGTTTCGCAGAAGTCGTTATGGCCGGCCACCCTCCAGCAATTTCACCCTCTCGTCGAACCCTTCCACGTCGCCCTCGTGTCGAGACGGCGATCATTTCCTGTTTGCTTCTTGTATCGTGGGAATATAATTGCGCTCGCGTTTGGCGTTAGAAATTTGTCAATTGATTGAAAGAAATAATTGTGAAAGGTTGGGGCGATTAAAGGCCTGCTTTCACCAACGTCGCTTAACTTTAAGCTTAGCTTAAGTCGTTCGTTGCCTCCTTCCAACTGTTACCTTGGAAACAGACAAACACGAATTAAGCTAAGATTAAAGTTAAGCGACGTTTGGTGAAATCGGGCCTGAGACACTGAAATTTCTGTGGATTCGGGGACGACGATATCCAGATGTTGCCGGGTGGCGGTTTTAAAAAAAGACTCGTGGAGAAAAGCTAGCCGGGGTAAGGTTGAATCGGTCACTTCCGAGATAGCGGCAAGCCGGTCCGGCTCTCATTTCGCCCTTTAAACTTTAAAGGGCCCTATGAAAGACCCCCCCCTGTTTCCGCTGTCCCCACGAGACCGGCTCTTTAAATCCTCTTTTTGTCTCCAGGCTCTTTCTTTGTCGGTCGTCGCACAGCGGGATAGAGTCCGAAAATACTAGTCAAAATGGTCTTTTGATTCATGCTTCAAGGCTCGTACGCCGTATGACTAGGTGCGTGTTCTTTTCAGCTGAACTGACTGCACCAGTTGAGCTGTAAAGAACAGACCCTAGGTGTCATCGTTTTCTCCCTGCTACTCTCAATATACCTAATGAATTCATTCGAGGCTATCTTCGTATTCGACGTACATGCACATACCGCTGTACTTTATACATTCTAACGAATTAAATGTAACGGATTTAATATTCAGAGAAAAATATACTTGTTATCGACAATTTAATGAGACTCCCTTATTTGTACAAAAGTGAAAATATTTCGCGTTAAGAAAGTGCAGATATCAGAGTAGAGTTTCGGTCTGATTTTTTCGGATCCTGCCCCACTGCGTATCGCGTGGGTTTCAGGTTCAGACGTGTGTGTCAAAGGGCTGATTGTGAACGAGAGGGGTCGGTCGCATGATCCCTGACATACGCCTACGCGCACACGCACAATGCGTTTCTCTCGGTCCGATCCTCGTCAGCTTCCGTGCGTGTCTCTCCGCGACACTGTCTTAATGAAAGAATTTATGCTTCGTCAGACACAAGCAGCGAAATTCTCCTAATTGACGGTATAAGGTGAAACTATATTTTTCCATTCTTATAAAATAAATCAGTTTCCTGACATTTTCGAACAAGCTGTGAGAGACTCGAAGAGCTGAAATTTTTACAAGAAATTACTAAGTTTTAATTTAAGATTTATCAAGCTTTATTTATGCTGAAAATGAAGAAAACCTTATCCTCAAAACTTGAAATGTTCACCTAAGAACAATGCAATTCCGGCAATTTCAAATTGCCGAAAAAGTTTATCGCTGAACTGAGTCTGTGTCGTGATTCATTTTGTGTACGTATATAAATTATATATGTATTCCTGTCAATGGAGATGCTATCTGCTGATAATATTATAAAAGATATCGCAGAAATAGTGCGAGTGAGTGCCCGTACTGCTGGAGTGTTGCGAGATAAGTTTGTTGGTAGATCGTTAGTTAGAAGAGACATGACATAAATTCGTGTGTCCACGAAATACCGGTTTCCATCGAGCAGAATATTGTACGTGCGATCCTTGTCGCTGTCGCCGCGTCATCATCATCGCGACAAAAGTAATCGTCCGTATTACCTCATCAATCCAGTAAAGAGCATGCGTAAAGGCCGCCCGCTTCCAGCGATGACGGCACTTCTTTCTTGCACACCGGTCGCCTGGTCGAAAAAAAAACCTCGGCCAATTTCGACACGAATTGAAATATTTCTCGGAGTCGCATGACATATTCCCGGCTCGAGTGCCTCCTCAGCTGCAAGTGACGTACAATCGTTACTAACGGCTAGTTTTCCTTTGATTACGCAAACTCTAGCGCAGACGATTTTACGGCTTTAACGACTTTCATTAATTGTAACGACCGGAGGCCACGGCGCGAGAATCGCGAGGCTGTGCAACGAGAACCGAATAGTAATCGCGATAAACCTTGCGCGCCGAATTAATTGCGGCTCTTAGACGATTATAAAAACACCCTACGAACACGATGCACACGCGGCGGCAGATTTATCGGCGCGTATATCCACCGGAGCGAGTCATGAACCTGCTTAAAATTGCTAATGAAGACATTATCTTGCTCCTCTCCTTTTTTTTCGTGCTATTTTCACTCGAATGCTTTTTCTTTATCGTCGAGTGCTTATTAATCGATCACCGAATCACTAGAGTACAGTAAAAATAGTGTAGAGTTACGTTTATCTAATCAGCGAGAGGCTTGTCGCGATCGTCGATATTTCCTATCTTTTTTTTTTATCTCGTCCCTGAGAGCGCGCAAATTTCATTAAACTGAACCGTCCAGTCTCCTGCTTCTTCGTCGTACGTTTTCGTCGGCTTAACTCTTGCTAGCCTCGGTTCACGACGCTGCTAAAGAGCCCTCCGGGCGCTCCGGAATGTTAACGACGATCGTTTTGTGCGGCACTGATTCCGCGCAATTGTGTCTGAATTACTGTTTGTCCAATGCTGTCGAACGAGGCCACGATTACGACTCGACTCGAGTTGCAGGCAACTCGATGCAGGCAAATTCTGCATTCTACGGAGCGTGTCGGTCAGGGTCGCTGCTCTTAGCGCTGCTTTAGAACTCCATTTTTTCTTTCTTTCTTTCTTTCTTTTACGCAGAACACTTGTCTTGATATCTTTCTGCGATTTCTGGTAATTACGTTGCAGATCTCGCAAAATATATTCCCTCTCCCTCTCTCCTGCGGACGGACGATAGATCTGTGATCGAATCGATTTGTGAATAGTACTTTCGGATCCGAACTTGTATTGATTTCGTCTTGATACATTATCATCCTATCGAGAAGTAGCCGTGTTGTTTCTCGGAAGACGGAAAGCTTTGACGATTTGGCGCATACTTACGCACGATCTGTAATCTTGAAGAGGGGTGAATGGACCCGCGGTAAAAACCCATCTGTACACATTGCGCGTCAACTCGTCTGCAAAGTCTCCAATGGTGTCGGCACACCATTTTACATAACGCAGTGTCTTTGCGGCGCAAAGTGATAATTCGCTCACTCTGTCTGTATCGCGGTCCCTCCTCAAGTTTTCCTATTATTAAAAAATTTCTATATAAATAATAAATATTAACTCACCAGAGGTAAATGGGGCGAGCGTTCGCGTTGCGGAGAAAGACGAACGTCATCTGCGACAAAGTTACGCGGTTTACGTAAATCCTTTTTTTATCTTTCGTATAATATTTATGCAAGGTGAACGTGTTATATATAAAGTCACATGTTGCTTTTATCTAGAAACGAATGACGCCTATGCGCAATCGATACGTACCCTTGTCACTCTATTCGCCGCACTCGCCAAGTTCAAGGATGCCCACCCTACACACTCGAGGTTCGACGAACCCTCGAGCAACGTCTGCGTACCTCGGTTAATAACGTCTTCATTAATAACGAAATCGCGAGCGGTGCACCGCGAGACACTTGGATTTGCGAGCCCTCGGGAAATATTGATTATTTTACCGCGCGACACCCTCGGGTCGTCTAGACGGGATCTATAACGAGATACTATACCACATCGCGACACGCGACCTTTTCTGTCGACAACATCGTGATTCAGAGACAAGTCGTGTATCGCGTTCTTTTTCGCTTTATAGCCGGACATATATACCTGGGTATTCTCCGGGGCAACGGCGGTTCTTTCGCAACGTGAAAGCTTAGTTTGTCGCTTTCAGGACAATTCCCTTGTCTCAACAAATTTAAATCACGAGGTATACGTACGTAAATGTTGAACAGTGCTTTCGTTTCAGCATTAGACAGAGTCGTCTATTTGATTCTAGGTATACGAATAGAGCGAAAACATGCCGGAAGAACAAAAGACCGCTGGTACCCCAGCGGAAGTAACGGCGGAGAATGGGACTGGGACGAACTCGCCCACCAAGAGCCCGGTTAGCAGGGGAAAGATGGCTCTTGCTAAAGTTACCCTCCTCGACGGGACCGTAAAGGACTTCTACATTGATGTAAGTCGTCGAAAAGTTGGTTCCATGCTGTACAAGTTAAACTATATTTGATTTACCTGAGACACGTTAAATATCGGGTTGACAGAGGAAGGCGAGAGGCCAAGAACTTCTCGAAATGATTTGTCAAAGCATGAATCTACTGGAGAAAGATTACTTTGGTCTCATCTACGAAGACAGACACGATCCGCGCAATTGGCTGGATCTTCACAAAAGGATTACGAAATTCATAAAAAGTATGGAAATCGCTACTGTACAATGTAACGGTATGTGCTGAGAAATGTCCTCTAACATTAACGTATGTTTTTAGCTGAGCCATGGAAGTTCAATTTCGAAGTAAAATTCTACCCGCCGGATCCAGCTCAACTGCACGAAGATATCACGCGTTATCAGTTATGCCTACAGATCAGAAACGATATTATTACAGGACGTTTACTTTGTTCCTTTGTGACACACGCTCTCCTGGGCTCCTACCTGGTCCAATCAGAAGTCGGAGATTACGATCCTGAGGAACATGGAAGGACATATTTGAAAGATTTTAAATTTGCTCCTAACCAAACGCCCGAGTTAATCGAGAAAGTAATGGATCTCCATAAAACGCATAAGTTAGTTTTGTTTTTACTCTTTCGATTTTTCTGACGAAAAAAAGAGGAAAATGTATCTACTGTTTAAACAAGTAACAACGTCGATGTTCTTCATCATCTTTTAGAGGCCAAACGCCCGCCGAAGCAGAATTACATTATCTCGAGAATGCGAAAAAATTAGCTATGTACGGCGTAGATCTTCATCCCGCGAAAGACTCGGAAGGCGTTGATATAATGTTAGGTGTATGCGCTTCCGGCCTTCTTGTTTATAGAGACCGTTTAAGAATTAATAGGTTCGCCTGGCCAAAGATATTGAAAATATCTTACAAGAGGCATAATTTCTACATAAAAATCAGACCGGGCGATTTCGAACAGTTTGAATCTACAATCGGATTCAAATTAGCCAATCACAGAGCAGCGAAAAAGTTATGGAAAGTATGCGTGGAGCACCATACTTTCTTCAGGTAAATAATCACTAGAATTTGTACTGTTTTTCCTTAATTTACGATACATCTTAATCAAATGTGAAATTTTTTCTAGACTTATGAGTCCGGAGCCTGTAAAGAAAGTGGGATTAATTCCACATTTAGGGTCTCGTTTTCGGTATTCCGGAAGAACTCACTATGAAACGAAAAAGACTCCTATCGATAGGCAACCTCCACAATTTGAAAGGTCTTTGAGTGGCCGACGACTCACGTCCAGAAGCATGGATGGTAAATGAGACTTTTTCTTATTTTTGAATGATATTCCAAAATATGAATGGATAACATAAGAATGATGGTTTAGTGGAGATTTAAAACTTGCTACGATCATAACACATCTTACGTTTATTCTCAGAATTTGTTCTCTTATGTCTAATTAAAAGTTTGTCATTAGGACACGCAAGCTTGCACAAGCATGAGTTTTTCTTATTAGAATGGTTTCTTTTTACCGATTTATTCTAAACACTATTTCATTCTTTGCAAAAATTTTCGAAATATCCGCTATAAACCACAAGTGCCTTTTTATAATCACATGTTTAAATCTATGTTATGCTAAGATGTGAAGTAGTGTGACTGTCTTGTACAGCATTAGGTGGGCCTAAACCAGTTGAAACATACAGTTCCGAACCAAGCAAACGGCATACTATGAGCTACGAGCCTGAAATGCTTTCTGATGATATAGAACATATAGACAGACGGCCTAGTCCGATCAAGAAGCAAAAAGAGAAGGTAATACGTTCATGCGTTTGTTAGAGAACATTTCTTTTGTATTTAAAATAACCTGTTAGAATGTAGAGTATGCATGAATTCTCGTCATGCGAACGTGAAACCGATTTTTGACTGACAGCAAAATTTATGAACGATGTATGTCATCATTTTTTATTACCATCTGCGGTCTACGCTTTCAAACTAATCTTTTAATTACAAAAGAAAAACATAATCCATGATGATGATTTGTGTGACATAACATAATTTTCGTGACAAATTAAACATGCAACAACATATTGCATTCTTGAAAAAATTTCTATCAGAGAAGTCGCGGAACACCAATTGGCTCACGTTCTCCGTCAAATGCGTGGGTGAGTCAGTAGAGTAAATTTATAGTTTTCACATGTTTTTGTACTAGTCTTGTGTCGATACATCTGTATCGACTTACGCAATACATTTATTGACTTACCTTACGCAAGAAATTTTTAACGCACACTACACTGATTCGGATCCAATGTTGCAACAAAAGCATGGCAATTGTACAACACATATAGAGTCGTTACATCACATATTTTCACATATAAAATAAAATAGGACTCGATACATTAGTAAAATTACATAGAGATGCGTCGGGAAATCTATAAATGAACTTTTTTTTTCTTTGGAGCGTTGATATTCCTATTATTAACTGACACATAACTAACACCGATAGCTCACACGAAAAACAAGTGCCGGAACAACATCAGCTAGCAGTACCAGTAGCCTGGAAGGAGAATACGATGCAGATCGTGGGAGAAAGGTATAGAACTTTAATGGGAGCACTTCTGCTTTAATTAATTCTATATATTTATCAATACTGTTTTTGTATGTGACCACTTGGTGTTTTGTTTCTTCCAATGCATGTTGCTACATTTTTCTTATTTATATTTCTTGCAAAACTTATACGGCCATCGCCTCAATGTGGGATGTTAGTTAAGCATTTAGCAACGTTAGTAATACGAGCATGTAGACAATAAGACTCTTAGAGAATTATTTTTCTTGTTGACTACTGTAAGTCGAGAATCTTAACGAAAGTCAGGCATAAATATAAAACTAGTTTATAGCGACTGATTGTTATTTAATATAAGAATACTATTTAAATGTGTAGCATTTTAAATTGTGTTAGATTAAGCAAAAGTTTAGCGTTATATTATTAATAGAAACAGATTTAACACAAAAATAACGATAATTATAACATACATACTTTGAGAGCGCAGACCGTAATCCATAAAGCATGCCATTGTATCTTGAAACATGGTAGTTTTCGTGTAGTTTTTAGTATTATTTTAGCAATGTAGCGGCTTTATGCTTGTTGCATGAAGCGACGTGTGATTGGGTAAATTTACTTGTAGAAACCGGTCGGAGGAATCGCTGTCCTACCGCCCGGTGGTCTATCAAAGAAGAAGAAGGATAAACAGAATGAAAACGAAAAGGAAAATCACAATGATCTGAATAATAGTGATCTGATTAATGACAATGCTCATCTTGACAATATTGATGATAAATCACTATCTAAAAAAGAATTAAAAAAGAAGGATAAAGAAACCCCCGAAAAAATGGATAAGGAAAAGAAGGAAAAAATCAAGGTAAGCTTTATATTGGTGTCGTACGCACCCGCGTTGCTGCTTTTTATCATCTTACATAAAGTATATGTATGGTTTAGAAAAGTATTTTTGTTTTATAAGTTACATTTACGATTAGAGTTTATCACTACCATTTTATTTTCAAATATCACAATTCAGTAAGTATTCTATTAGATTTTAACAATAATGTCGAAAGAATGTTCCATTAAATGTGTAGATATTTTTCCATTGAATGCATCCGCATTCAAGTTTGCACGAATATTATACTTATGGTAGTTTATACTTTTGCAGAAAAAAAAATTAAGTTACGTTAACACATAGATATTGTTAGCTTCATTTAAATGTGATGACAAGTATGTTATATATATATATAATACATATATCATGACGTATATAGCATGTATTTTGTACTGCATGTATTTTGTGTATTATCCAAGAGTCCTGTTGGCGGTTTCCTGTTTACCAAAAAGGACAAGGATAAGAAACAGAAAAAGAACAAAGAACTCGATGAATCCACGGACAAGAGTGATATCGAATCGAATCTTTCTACATCGGAAAAGCAGGGAAAAGAGGTTGATGTGAAAGCAAATAAAATCCAAGATCCCACAAAGTCTCCTCAGCTTCCTGGTTACACGAAGCCTTACGATTACGAAGAAACGGAAGCTTCGCCTACAAGAAAGCCGTTTACTCCACTTGGTTTTACATACGAAGATCGGCCGGCATCGCCAGGTATACAGGATCAGCCATCGCCTACTTCAGCTAGTCGGAAGGCTACAGGATTGGCATTTAACTATGCTCCGGGAGAAGAAAAGAAAGTAGCGGAATCTGTGGAAAAGAGGAAAACAAAGGAAGCGGATAAACAAGCACCCGGATTGAAGACACCAGGGCTCAATTATGTGGAGTCTGCTGCCCTTAAGGAACAGCAAAAGAGTGATGCGCAAGCAGACACTGAAAAGGACCAAACGACGGCCTTCATTGATAGCGAACGTCAACATGGAGATACCGTTGGTCTGCCTGTAGGAATCCCACCAGCACCAGTGGAACCCAAACCAGATTATCACATTCTACCTCTTCCCGATGGCTCGAGAATCATTGGAGGTGTGATTTATACTAAAGAAGGTAAAGCACTAGATCAGAGCCATCTCGGACCCGACGGTAGCAAAATAATTGACGGTAAGGTTTGCGGAAAAGACAGTAAATTGCTAAAGAAGGGAGACCTCGGACCACATGGGATTCACATTAGCAATGGTATAATTACTGGGAAAGATAACAAACCTTACCATCAGGAAATATTGGGTACAGATAGAAATTCGATAAAGAATGGAATTATTCATTCTCCTAACGGTGAAGTGGTGAAACAGTCTTTCCTCGGGCCGGATCACGCAGTTGTCAAAGAGGGGAAAGTATCACTGAAGAACGGTAAACCGATTCAACACTGTCAATTGGGTGCAGATGGAACGTATGTGAAAGAGGGTCTCATATTTACGTCGGGATCTAAACCTATGACTCAGGGCTCGTACGGCACAGACGGCAAGTACATGGTTGCCGGTATAGTATGTAACGAGGAAGGCAAGCCTTTGAGTCAGATTGCGATTATACCTGACGACACGTTCCTTTGCGACGGCTTGATACATGGACGAGACGGAAAACCGCTCAATACGGGCAAGTTAGGTCCTGAGGGCCATTACATCGCGGAGGGAAAGATCCATTCGAAAGATGGAAAACTAATCAAACACGAGTCTTTCAATTCCGACGGGTCTGTCGTGAAAGACGGCGTAATTTACTCCAAGGATGGAAAATTTTTGACTCAAGGATCCTTGCTACCGACCGGTGCTCACTTAAAGGATGGCAAAGTAGTCGGTAAGGATGGCAAGCCCATTAAGCACGCGTATTACAAATCCAACGGTAGTTTCGTCAAAGACGGTGTGATACATGAAAAGGACGGCAGGCCCCTGAATCAAATTCCATTAATAGCCGATGGTCACTTCATCAAAAACGGTTTAGTGCACAACAGAAACAACAAGCCGCTGTCTCAAGGCCTCTTTAAGCCCGACGATCTTGTAATCAAAGAAGGTACGTTACGCAACGCGGATGGTTCAGCAATGTCAAATGCTACTCTCGGCCCTGATGGATTTCTAGTGAAGGATGGCACGATTCTAGGGAAAGATAGTAAACCGGTGAAACACGAATTGTTCGGTTCGAACGGAAGCAACATAAAGAAAGGTATTATCCACGCGAAAAATGGAAAGCCGCTCAATCAAGAATCATTGGTACCCGAAGGCGCGGCTATTAAAGACGGCAAGATATGTAGCAGAGATGGCAAATTACTAAAGTTCTCATTCTTTAAACCGGATGGTAGTTACATCAAGGACGGTGTTATTTACGGCAGCGATAGTAAACCGCTCAACCTGAACGCAGGTTTACCGGAAGATAGTTTTATCGTCAACGGTGTAATATTCGATTACTCGGGGAAGCCCTTGAGCAGAGATTCGTTTGGATCCGATGGTTCGTACGTCGCGGGCGGATTGGTTTACGGTAAAGACGGCAAAATCGTGTTGCAAGGTGTGTTCGGTCCCGACGGCAATACGATTCGGAATGGCATCATCGTAGGTAGAGACGGCAAGCCCTTGACACAAGATGACAAAGGCCCGGACAATATAGCGGTCAATAACGGAAAGATCGTGGACAGCCACGGGAATCCGAGAAATCTGTCCTCGTTGGTACCCGATGGATGTTACATACAAGACGGAGTAGTATACGACAAGAATGGACAGCTGTTGAAACAAGGTGCGTTTAAGCCAGACGGATGTTACATTCGAGACGGCCTGATATACGGCTGGGGAGGTCAGTTACTGAACGCGGGATCCGAATTACCGGGTGGCAGTTATATCGAGGAGGGTAAGATATACGGAAAGGATGGGAAACCCTTGAGTCACACCGCGTTCGGTACCGAGGGCAATTTCATCGAAAACGGTATCATTTATGGAAAGGATAGAAAACCGCTCAGTCACGGCACGTTCGGCAACGACGGCAGTTACATACAAAACGGTTTACTGTACGGACCGGACGGGAAGCCGCTGAACAAGAGACAGACCATAATCACCGTTACGTCCGTTCGTTACGGCTTGGTCTGCGGTGACGACGGCAAGCCATTAAGATATGGCAATTTTGACAACGAGGGCAGCGTGGTGAAAAACGGCAGGATTTACGACGACGCCGGAAGATACCTCAACCAAGATGTTTACGGCCAAGACGGTGACTTCATTAAAGACGGTCTGATTTATGGGCGCAATGGGAAACCTCTCTCTCACGAGAACTTACCGCCGGAAAGTAGTTTCATAAAAAACGGCAAGGTTTACGATGCGAACGGTCAACCACTAACGCAGGAGGCGTTCGGGCCGGAAGGTTTGAAAGTTATACAGGGCGTCGTGGTAGACAAAACTGGAAAACCGGTGAAACATGCGAGCTTCGATGCCGAGGGTAACGTCGTCAAGGATGGAATAATTTGCGCGCCTACTGGAAAGCCGCTCGATAAACATTTTACGACTATCACGATCACAATGGTACATAGAGGACTGGTATGTGACAAGGATGGAAAACCGGTCGCACAAGCATCGTTCGGAACTGACGGTGGTTTCGTTAAGGACGGTAAGATATACGATAAATTCGGCAAACCGTACAATCAAGAGCTTTTCGGCGAGGACGGATCGTACGTGAAAGACGGTGTGATATATGGAAACAACGGCCAGCTGGTGGAAAGCGTGACGATTCTGAAGGACTTGCAAGTGTCAGTAAAATCCAGCCCCACGAAATTAAAGAAAGCTGCGATTCCAGCCGTGATACCGACAATTGTCAAGACAACAACCAAGCAATCGGTGGTCAAGGATCAGGAGGGTGTGACGCAAAATATTCAGGAAAAGATCGAGGATCTTACACCCGGTGGTACAGGCCAAGTTATGGTCTCTACTCACGTCAACAAGGTGATACACTTGGAAAGAATAAAAGACTAACGTAGACATTACCATTCACCCTTTCATAAGATCGGAAATTTAACGTAACATCAGATATCGTACTGAGCAGACAAGATCTTGCATGCTTACATAAAATACATACGATAATTTTTCATTGTTTTATCCAATATAAAATGTTCCTTTTTCATTTATTCAAATATATTGCACGAAATTGAGTGATAGATTTGTTTAAGATGAGTATGCATAGTTGGAATATTTAAAATCTTGTGATGAATGTTTAGTAAAGAAGTTATATATCGTGTATTCTTTTTCATTCTTGAAGAACTCGATTTGTTGAATCGCAGTCATCTGCCATTTTTATACAATTATATTTATATCTTATAAAAAGGCAAACGCTCTCTTTCTCTGTTGCATTGACTCTTCCTGTCAATGTCGTAAAATGTAATGCGTAAATATCGTGTTTTTTATTCATTAATTCGCATTCTCGTTACATTTTCCAATTACCATTTACATTAGTTATACATGTACGTCTTGAGATCTTAGTCACATGGTAGTTGTATTTAGGCAGAGGCACCAGACGACGGTAGAACTCCGTACATGACAGCGACAGCTGTCACTACACGTACCGCCACGATGCACGAGGATCTGGAAAAAAATCAGAAGACAAGTCAGGTTTGTAACGAGTGTTAACAGCTTCACTTTGTTAACTTTGTAGAATATTAATGCAAATTTAGTTGAAGCCTATGCTGCATATAATAAAGATAATTGTGATATATTTATAATATATTCATACGTTCCACGTATTCTACGTTCCTTTAGTTTTGCCTAATTATTATTTGCTATAATTTATTTTTTACATCAGGTAGAGGAAAAAACTGTAGCGCATACAACTGCGACGAGTGCGACAAGACAGGAGCAGCGTGTAGTAACACAAGAAGTTCGAACCACGAGTCACGTGCTTTCCGGCGAACAGGTAATGCCAATTGTATCTTTCTCAGGAAGATACGCTTGAAATTAATAGGTGAAGCATGTAAGCGTTTTTGCAAATTGCTACACGGATATTATTTGGATTTTGATCTAACTGTCATTCTCTACATTTCAATATATACATACATGTATATCATTTCACGTAACTGTGCCGTATACATACGATCATTTCGCATATGATTGTAGGACATGTAAGAGATCACTTTATATAAAATACATATCAATATTAATTCTACGTATTTAAAGACTTGCAGTTGAGAAAGTCTCATATTAACACTTCATTATACGTGCATAAATTATGCTTATAGCATATATAAAATATCACTCATTATTATTAAATGTAATGGTAATATTATTAATTTAACTAGCCTAATTTAATGAGCATCATTTATTCATACCCGGAATTGTTTATTTTTTATTTTTGTTTCTTGTAAATAATTTTGCCGGCTTGGTTAACACGTTGCATGGCGTAGCTGTTCTCACGAAGGCTAAGTACATCGAGCTCGAGCAGCGGAGATTCAGGTACACCGATTGATCTCGACGATGACCAACAAGCCTTCTACAATCAATATTATCAGGTAATCCATTGAGTAACGGCCAGAAATTTTCTTCTACTAATATACTACTACGGAGCGGAAGATAATGCATATTTAGAGCAACGGGTAACAGGTATTCATATCTACATGTAAAAAAATGTTAACATTTCGCCTTGCCAGCTAATCCAATGTGGTGCATTTGCATTAAGATATTTTCGTTCATATTGCATAATATTTAAAAGAAATGTATCTTGCATTGCTTCGTGCAATGTGCACAAAAAAACTGTTCAACTTGAACAAATTTCGTCGGAGATGTATAGGTACATGTAATGATCAAGGCGGCAGATGTGCTATTGTAAATGTGAATATATCTCAGTATATCGATTTGTGAGATTGTCCATTGTTGTTATTTTTCTTCTTAATTTTCAATCTTTATTAATTTCATATTTTTCTTTGTCATTTTCATCTTCGATTGGTGTCGAGAGAGAGAGAGAGAGTTCTTAAATAAACGAATTTTGAATTAATTTTGATCCAGGGAGATCCAGCCGTGATCGCAACTGAGAAGCACGTTTATACAGGAGAACCAGACAGTAATGTGACAACGACAACTACGGTACCTGTAGTGGCAACTGAAACGAGAAAAGTAGCTCTCGAAAGCGAAGACGGTAACTATAGTGCCACAGGAGAGATAGTCAGTACACAAACCATATCTAGTAAAACTCGTACTGTCGAAACTATTACGGTTGGTACATGATATGCTAATCAAATCAATGTTGTTTATGATTATATAATTTTAATTAAACATTGATTGCCTTACAGTATAAAACGGAGAAAGATGGTGTAGTTGAGACACGAGTGGAACAAAAGATAACAATACAATCGGATGGTGATCCGATTGATCACGATCGAGCTTTGGCAGAAGCGATACAGGAGGCCACTGCTATGAATCCAGATATGACAGTGGAAAAGATAGAAATACAGCAGCAAACGGCGCAGTAATTAGTAGAGGATTGTCCGTCATACATACATAAAAGGGCACTCTTGGTCTATAAGTAACACAAACGATTCGTAATCTTAGAGACTAGGAAAACAAATTGGTATTTACAATATATGCTATATATTAGATGCATTATCTAATGTATCATAAAAAGAACCAGACTGAAATATGCTATAAAAATGTCGATAAGTCTTTAAATATTTTACGAAGTTGACATAAAGCAAGGAACAATATTTAGCTTTATACCTTGTCTTTTGAGAGGGTCAAAGAAAATTTCTGATAACGGCTTGCCCAATGTTTCGAGCTTAAACTCGATTGAAAATCGAGTTTGATAGTTGAAAGGAATGAAATATTGATGAAATCTTTTTAATGAAGAGAGAATGGTACCTCGTACTATAAACTACAGTGTTCATATTAAAATAACTAAGAAGGTGTATTTATATACACGAGAACATAAATAAATATTATACAATGTATACATAGCTATGTATGTATGTAAACAAATGGATAAACTATTTATACATAGTTATGGCGATAATTATATAAATATAAATATAAAATATACATATAAAAGACGGGGTGCCCTGCAACTTAAAGTTTTGATAATTGAGTATTTCTTAACAGTAAAATGAAAAATAATTACAGTCATACAAAGAATAACCAATACAATACAACAATTATTAAAAATTTTGCAGTAAAGTAATAATATCAGAATATTCCAAATTGAAATACTAATGGCGAAATATTTATAGTCAACCAAGTCTATTAAAAGCATATTCCCTTCGATTTATCAGAATCTTTTGTCCTCTAACGAAAGCTCGTTACTTTCTCTCTTTCATCTTTGAGTGTAATATTACAAGTTGTTAACAGTAAGTAAAAAAATACTCTGATTCATAATATTCGTATAAAGAAACAAATAAAATATGTTGCAATGGGTTATAAATATGTAACATAATTTTATCGATCCGTTAAAAAGTGACTCTTCAAAGATGAATTGATAGAAAGTAAGATTAAGAGTAATAGTTTAACGAAATAGCTCTACTACATATTGTCTGTTGTAATGCTTAAATGCAATAAGGTAAGCTTCTTGGCAAAAAGTATATGTATAGTTTGACTATCTGTGAAATTGATATTGGCTTTCCAAACGGTTATTACGTAACATTGTGTGACAGAGTCAGAATATATATTACGTATTAATATATATATACATACATACACTTTATATATATATATATATATATATTGCTAATTGAAATATTTGAAAACGCTATAGTTTTGTATACCTAAAAAATGTTAATATTATGTTGTAGAAAGGATACAGAAATTACGTTAGTGATAGTATTGTATCATTTTTCATGTTGCAGCTATATAACAATTATGAGAGATATAATATATTGACAGAAACTCTATAGATTTCATTATATTTCAATTACTATGATTAATACAAATAAGCCCATATATGTATGTATGTATGTATGTATGTATATATGTATGTATAAAACTTTATACCAAGAGCAATGATATGCATTGGTCAGCGTATATGTCTAAATTTAGCTGTAGCTTATGTAGTTGTAGAACTACAATTTTACATGAATTTTCATTAGTTTAGTGATTTACGTTCCATTACAATTCACATTGCAATTTGAATAAACAAAATAAATCTAACACAAATTTCCTGAAAAGAATGGTGCATTTTAATTTTGCAGCTTTGCATACATTTTAATTTACGCAAATTATTCTAAATGAAAGGATCAACGTACGAATATACCGTACTGTATTTAGCAGGCTTGTTTATACCTTTGTTCTTCAATGTATTGTTCTTTATCAATTATACTCGTACATAGTATTGTAGGTTCTATTTCTTCGATTTTATCTATTATAACATACTGCGCTCCGTTTAATGTTACAAATGCTTCGAAGCATTCTTCTCGTGTCTTTTAATAAAGAAAGATAGAGAAGTTTGTTTTGTAGCATTTGCAGCATCAAATGGATTGCAGCCTATATAAATGCGTTTAAATGAAATATACTTTAAACAAGAGAGAATTCTTGTTTTTTATTTTTATACATTTACATTTTTATAAAATGTAAATTATCAATATCTCTAAGAATTTGAAAGAATGTTTTGTTCTCATAGTCTTTATTTTTATCCAATGCTTAATTTTGTTATTACAAGAGAGAGATATTACAGAAAATATTTATTTTATACATATACCTTGATTAGTATTCTCTTTTATTTAAGACATTAGCATTTTCGACTATTTTTCTCTAGATTTTATTTAAATACAATAGCATTATACCTTATAAGGAACAAAGGATAATCACAGCCTATTTACGTAAGAAATTTTATAATACTGGTCACTTGCTCTACGCGTTACATATGATAAATGGCGAGTTGTCTGTGTGCCACGAAATATATATTGATTCATTACATCTCGTACTATTTTATAATATAAGATCATATTTTTAGATACGCTCAAGACGATGCTATGGTTTTATACAATTCCTAATGATTGCTAGTAAAATGATTACCTGTTCTTCTTTACATATACACATATATCGCGAAACAGGTGTCTCAAGATTCTGTGAATAACATTTTAATAAGCTGCATATCATTTTTCGATTGAATAATTTCTTTTTAATCGTATAAGCTAAAAGATGATTGTTTTATATTGTATCTAACATTCCATGCTTATAGTGACTAACATATATATGTATATCATATAAATATTTGTATTATTTTTGTTATTTATTCCTGTTTTTTAAGAATATACTTTTATGTTAAGTCTGCTTGGAGAACACATGTATACTTATGTAATAGCAATATAATTCGAAGTCAGTAAAGTAGAAAGATAACTCTAATTTCTTTGATTTTGAGAGAATAGATGTTGATTTATTAATTTTATAAACTGATTTACTGCACTTACATGAATAAATCATATAAATTGTCGTATAAAATAAGCTTTAATAATGTACAGATCTTCAAGCAGCGTACAAATATAGTTTGTAAGTTTATAATTTAGCACTTTTGTTGTTTAGTTTATTGAACATATATTGCATATTTGATATGTAATAGTTACCCAGCTTATAAAGATTAATTATATTTTTATTGCATTTGAAATTTTTGTATCATGTAACATCGCAAATTTACGCGAATTTATTTGATATTTACCTGTTACGTATCATGATTTTATTTAATATATATTATACATTGCAGTGAATTCTATTTATGAAGATATTTACATGAAAGTAATGGAAATGTAGCCTTATTGCTAGAAAGTTCTATAAAAATAATATTGTGATTTAAATCTTTGTCTTTATTGCACACATGCATTATTTTATTTTACATCATAACTTCATACAAATTTTAATTCTTTACACTCATAATTTTTGCAATCATAATATACTGTAATGATTCAGCCTAAGATAACATGATTAAATATACTAATAATAACTGTTAAAAAATTGCTAGATGTAATTAAATAGACGGTAGTGCAATTGCTTTATTATTGACGTGACAGCGCGATAAACAGGCCTCCTTGTTTTTAGTTACGTTACCCCAAAATGGTCTTGGTGTTATACGATTATCCTTGGTACTTTTGATGCCAGATGCTATTGCACGCAAAAGTATTTTATTAATACAATAATGAGGATAATTTCTTTCATCTTTTTTTTTTACCTGACTTCCAAGGCGGAAACACTTGCAGCTGATTTTCCACCGAGAGAGATCCAGGAGTAATTGTTATAGACAAATGCGGTCCAGGAGGCTGAAAAATTGCTCTCGAAATAGATCTTTTGAAGGCTGGTGGCAAGTTGAGAGAACCTACGATAAATTTTGTATCTACAACTTTTGTTCTTATCTAAATAGAAAATTCATTAGCATACTTGTTATATCATCTCCTAATGGGACTTTAGTTGCGTTTCTTGTACGACGATTGTGTTTCTCCATTTTAAATCTTTTCATAAAACTTCGACAAACGTCAGTTACAATTTTCCCATCGAGATTAGCTGTACGTAAAGTAACCTGATAATTGAGTAATAAACACAAATAATAGCTGGCAAAGAATAACTTATATAACATTACCTAGCAAAACGCTGTTTGCAATCAGATTTTCCTTATATCTGTAAGACCAGGTAACGGGATTACCTTGTAAAGACAGATCTTTCAAAGAGGTCAATGTACTTATTGCTGCACTTAAATCGCCCACGTTATCGATGAGATTATTTTTTGCATCCAACGTATGTAATTCTTGAAATCCTATTAAATTTCTTAAGGACGTCATTTTGTTATCGGAAATATTAAGAACTTTTAGTGACATCTAAGAGAAAAAAATGTTCATAATAAACACAAATCTCGAGGATTAATCTATATAACGAAAGAGTCTCTTTGAGATTTAAATAACATTTACGGATAAAGTGAAAGCGCTGCGTGGCTCAAAGCATAGCGATTCACCGAGTGGTATCCTTTGACTCTCGATATGTAACTCTTGTAATTTCTTTGTATTTTGCAATCCTTCAATTACAATAATATTATTGTGTCCTAAATATAACTTTTGGAGGTTTTGCAGAGATTCTAAATTTTCCATTTTTGTTATAGCATTATGTTGTAGATACAGGTGTGTCAAATTACATGCAAAATGTAGATTCTTTATTTTTGATATATTATTATTCTGAAGATATAGGACTTTTAAACTTGTATAAATAGCAATGTTACCCTGTATAAAAAATTTAATGTTATATACACCAAAATTAAATTACATAAATTTATTAAATCGATATAGCTTACAATACTGCTGATAAACATGTCATTCATATGTAGATGAGTCAACTTCCACAATTCATCTTTTTTTATTGTTTTACTGAGTGATTTACTACTTAGTATTTGAGAATATTTCCTTTCAACGATGTCTGTTGTCAATTTCACCATGATTGCAAGATAAATATGAATCAAGAACGTGTAACAACCACAGACTTCTATAGAAGTCTGTGGTAACAAGCGGTCTGCAAAGATCACCAAGTTTCATTGATCAAACGCAGAACGTAACGACGATACGAAATATCACAGGTAAAATTAGTTTCACGCTGCAACTTCATGCGCAAAGCAAGATAATATAAAAAATTGTATTTCTTCTATAGTATACAATTACAATTTAATTTAAGAAATAGGTTAATTTTCCAGTTGATCTAATACAGAAAAAAAAATCTTTCCTCGCTTTGATCTTTACAGGATAGATTTTTGCACCATGGCGAGACTCTAAACATAAAAAGGATAAATTTGATTATTGCGCTTATAAAAACAAAATAACATTTTTATATGTTTTATATATACAAATTTATTGCTTACGTGCGTAACCGTGAGTACTCCTTTAGAAGATAAATGATTCAAATCCTCTGTGAGTTCTTTGATTTGACATTTTTTATTAATAACCTAAAAATTGAATATTATCTCTTCTCTTTTTCTTGCATATGATGTAAAAATGAAAAATAATTGATTATCTCTTATAATTACCTCCAAAACAAACTTTCTTTCAGATTCATTTAAAAATGGTAGAAGTGCAGCAGCCAAGTGTATTTGTTTACTTTCAAAACAATTTTTCACGATGGTGGCGAAGTCTAATTCATGTACAACAGGACAAGAATACAGCAGACAGATCGCATCGATGCAATTATCAATTTGTTCCTGATTCGGATTTATATCCAGCTCGCCGAACGGCTCAAAGATAATCAATTGCCATCCCGTTTTGTAACCGTTACAATTGACAATGACACTTTTCTTTCGTAATTGCAGTAAAAGTTTCTTTAAGTCACTCACCTAAAAATACACGTTTAATAAATTTTCATATAAGAGGGTACTTGATGAGTCATAATCTCGATACCATTTGCAATTTCGTCATCTGATTCAAAGTATCATCCCAAAGTAGGATATCATCGATTTCAAATTCAATGGAGATTTGCGCTATGACGGAGAGAGCATAGGGCAAATGACGCTGACTTTTCCATAATATTTCCACAAGCTCCCGTTTGGAACACGTGTTAAATGTATCAACGCTGTAACATAATCCTAACGGTTCCAATTTACCGATGTACTGTAACGATTTCATATACTGTCTGAAATGTTGAAGTGAGATTAACGTTTTAATGCAAGTTAAATCTATATTCTGCAAATAAAATAAACAATAATTTGTTACAATTATTTATACCTAAAGGTGCATATATCTTGCTTGGTTAATTCCTCCAACGTAGTAGTGTCTACGACAGTTTGCAATATTTGAAATACTCGATATCGTACGTTACAACTGTATTGAGTTTCGTCATGATCGCCAAAACCTATGTTTACAAGAAATTGTGCAAATAATTCTATATCTCCATACTCCAGTATGTAGCATATCCTACAAGTACATTTCATAATCAATATTGTTGCTCTAGAAATTGACAAGATAAGAAATGGTACATTAACAATATTACCTAAATAAATTATCGTCACAATCGTTATTCTGATCAGATTCTTTCGTCGCTAAAAACGTCTCTGTAAAGCTCTGGGACAATTCGGTATACCTGGCATTAGACTGTAGCCATTCTTCCAATAAATTCATACGCAATTTTATTATATTCAACGAGAATAGTTTACCCAGCTCGCTAACAGCAGCGTTAATATCGGGTCTGTAGTTGATTGCGGTTCGATATCGTAATGGTATACTTTCGTCATTGTACAGCTCACACACCAATTTGTACGGATTTTCGATTAGAGTAAGATACTTATCCTTCACCAATCCGTACGTACGTAGAATATGTTCGGACGTAAATCTCAAATATTTAGATTTAATTTTCTGAAAGTAAACGCAAATATATTTTTTCATGCAACTTAAAAATTAAAAACGTCATGTACACAGACATTACTTCGAGACGTACTTCTAACATTCCTTCTTCGAATTTAGTCGAATTCTGTGCTGCCAGCTCAGCGTACTCGTAACATTCTTTCGCGGCAGCAACGCGATCAGCACCCGGAGGTGTATGATTTACGACATAGTACAATGCTGCGGTACCGTAATAGAATCCATCTGAGTCTGTCATCCGTTGTATACACTTTTTGATATCTTTTAGCAACGTGGTGTTTATCGATTCAAGCGACCATGCAGTATCTTGTGCATTAGTAGAATCAGTTTTCCACACTCGTATCACTTCACCCTTAATAGCTAATGTGCATATGAGGTGTGTCTCTAAATTAAGTACAGGTGCAATATCAAGCCACTTGTCGTATGTACGTAAATTTAACTCAGGAGCTGGAAATGAGAATTAATAAAATATGAATTTAAATAACATAATCATTCAAATGCGGGCTAAAAAATAATTTCTGAAATATATTTACTAATGATTTTCCAAATATCGACTTTAAACAAGAATGGAAGTCTCCACTGGGCTATTGGCGGCAACGTACTGTGTCCAGGATTAAGCTGTATCCACTCTTCATGTTCCATTGACGTAGGAAGCCTATCATGTCATGATTGTTAGCTCAAGATGAAATATATGCGAAATTATAACTTACCCACTCCGAGTGTAATTTTGCAAGAAGCAGAGATAATTCCTCTTCTCCATACTTTTATCTCCTATGAGATCCATTAGTATAATAAACACTTCATAGTGATAAAATGTTATCTAGAAATTTAAATTTGCATTATAAGAATACTATCGAACATTTATACTACCGAACATCTTTATAGCTTACATGGTTCCATAATGTAGAGATACATCGCTTTAACATTGATTTATCTTCCATTTCCGCAACAGCTGCATTACATTTATTTCTTAATTCATCGATTTCATCTTTACAGATAAGTAACTCTATAAAATGTCATTCGATTATTAAATGTGTATTTTGATATCATATAAAGATGATCTATGTACAGAATAAATTGTCACAAGTACATATTATTTCTTTGTTTTATCATTTACCTTTATTCATGCTTGTATTTGAAACAGTTATCGTCGGATTCCACGTTTTTAGTAATATTTGTAAATAAAGCAATAAACTATCATTGTAATTAAATCCGAAGCTATAACAATAATCCTTTAGTAAGGGAATCACGTTATCTTTATTACTGTTTATAATCTGCTGTAAAATTTCTCTTTTGCTCGAAGCAGTATTTGTTAAAACTTCTGTAATTGTATTTAAAAAATATACATTAATGTATATAACTAAATTTGTGTTTAATACGAAAATAAGTTCGATGATTAAGCGTACCTTTAGAAGTTATTGAATAATGTGATAGTCGTTGTGCCCAAATATGCAGTAGCTTGTAACTCTCAAACGTCTGCGTTAACGATCGGTTTTGCCCCAAACGCGAATATTCGTATCCCAAAGTTGAGATTGTACAATGCCGAATATAATCGGCCTGAAATCTACAAATATAGATCTTTACACATTATTATATTAATTGTCGGAAAATGGATTTTATTTCCTTACGATGTAAAAACTGTGGAAAACCAATTGCACGCCTCTTGTTCAGATAACATAAAAAGACACGACAGTCCTAACGACAAATCGAATGACCGTCCGGTGCACAACTTTCTCAGTAAATTCATTAGAAGCTGTGATAATATACGTTTCATTTCCGTTAATATCTCTTCGTTTCTCATAGACGTATTATGGTATATAAAATATACCATTTTGAAAATTTTCCATAAAGAATAATCAGTGTGTTGGGATTGCAGCTTTCTCGTATTTTCCAGGAATTGATGTATTTGTTCCTATATATATAAACAGTACTGATATATTATACAAACTATATTTATAAAGAAATTATATATATATAATATACTTTGCAATACATACATCATTATTTATAACTTTATCATCGTTGATTTCATTTGAATAATATATGTGCAGAGAAATTGCATCTTTAAACAGAGACAACAATCTTTCATCTAAAGATATTGCTTGATCCTTATAAATTGTATATAACTTCCAATTAGATTGTGTTACGAGCTCCTGTTTTACATTAAAACAATCTTGGGTAGGAAGGCTTGGACATTCATTCATACAAGTGTAAAGCGTTAGTGCAGATTGTAAATCACCTGAAATATTAGTTTTGCGATACAATTATTACCGTTTGAATTATCAATATAATTTTGATACATACTGTCTTGACAAGTATCCAACATCTTAATACTCAAGTTTCTGATCATTTTTACAACGTTTGTGTCTACAGCAGCATGTTGTAGTACTGTTAAGCATGTCTTATGTACATTTTTAAATTTGTCGGACGTCATATTTAAATCTTTATCATCACTATAAAAAACAGAAAAGAAATGAATAATATTATACATGTGTATAAAATTATAAAAATAAAATACGTAAAATACTTACTCATAATCAATAAGTTCCTTCAATCCGTTTAAATTTTTTATCTGCTCTAATATAGACACGGTTGTATATGACTTTTCTAATCTTAACAGCTCAGCAACTTTAATAACTGTCTTGCACGTTATTTTCCAATCGTTCTCTTTCGTATCTGTTAAATTATCGTAAATAAATTGCATATTCTTGACAAGTATACGTATATTTCTTCTAGTTATGATAATTAAATTAAAAATTTTACTTGGAAGCAATTTTGAGATATAGTTTTGCAACATAAGTGACTTTTGCGTATGGTAATCTTTCCAAGAAATATCAATCTTGTAATATTTTTTCAATGCGTACAATGACTTTAAATCTTTTATCATTTTGATAATATTGTTGCAACGATAGGGACAAACATTTGGCTGCTTTAACAAATTAGATATTTTAAGTTCTAAGCAACCCAATATTTCCATGTGATAGACCAAAAACGTTGTTGCGTCCTGAAAATAAATATTAAATTATGTACAATTATGTATATCCTAATTTAAGAAAAAACAATGTCCTTCGAATTAGTACTGTATTAAAGACCAATTTAATTTACCTGAAAAGAGAAAGCTGAAACAATATAATGAACAATTCCTTCAAAACAATATAAAACGGTGGCAACATCATTTTCTAAATGATGTATTATATCTATTGCTCTCTGGAGATTTCTAAAACAAATATATGCAATAGATTAAATAAATGAGTGCTTTATATTTGTATGACTTTTCCTGTTATGCAAACTCTACAATAAGTTTTCACAACATACTTTTCATTTAATCGGGCGGTTATACACCGACAATATGCATCTTGTCTTAACTGCTGATCGTCTCTAGTTAGCACATCTATGTCATTAATCATAGAATTGCAATTTTCTTTTATTATACGTGACATTAATTTCTAAAATGTAAAAAAAAATTATAAATATAACATGTTAAAATAATTATAATGTAAAGCCAACGGCACACGATACAATTTTTCTCACTGGATTGCTTACGAGAACCAATATAGGATGCAGAGTTTTAGGTCAGGCGACTTAAAGATAAATCCTGATTGGCTAACGTAAATAATCCAGTAGGAAAAATAGTGTCGTGTGTCGTTGGCTTAACAACATATAGATATCATAAAAGACATGACGTTAAAGTTGATACCAACATTATTTACACCTATTGTTGCATATCCATATTTTATTAAGATGAGTTTTATTGGAACATAATCGCACTCCATTTTAATTTTAAAAGATAAACTGTGATCATAATTGATACTTGTTTCTGCTAGAGTAGCTATAATTGGACTCCAAGGTACTGGCGCTTTCCTTAAAACCATCAAAGTTTGGTCGAGTCGTTTCTTATGTGATATGTAACATAAAACGTTGCGTTAAGTGAATAAAAAGACAGTGTGTAATTGAGATGGAAAACTTATAGTCAACAAAATATTTTGTAACGTGTCAGAAAGAATATGTCCATAATATTTACCTCCATATCGTGTATAAGGCCTATTATAATAGTAACTCTTTTTTCCCATGTAGCTTCTGCATTAAACCAACTGTACGAATTTTTTATAGTTTTCTATAAGAGTATGAAATATTACAATATATTTATACAAATATTATTTATCAGAAAGAAATTTAATATTACAAGTAACATACATTTTTAATTATCTTGGCATTTAAAAATAGACAATATTATACAAACCTGAATATACATACAAAGAACAGCATCGTTTTGTAAATTATTATTAAGTATATATTGTTTTAGGAACGTTTTCACAAAATTCGGTATTTGGTCAGTGTGTATTTTATCCAACAACATATAAACTGCTTCTACAGGTGAGCCAACGTAGATATCAAGACGTATCCTCAATCTATTGTGTAATTTAAAAAATTAATAACTTTAGTTTATGAACTAATAGAAATTTATGATATTACTGACCTATAAACAATCTTCAGTTGTTGAATATCGGATAAAGCTTGAAACATAATCATAAACTGTTTCAGTAGAGAGTTCTGATATCTGTACTCTTGATGAAAGTATACTGATTGATTAGCTTCAAATTTGAGTAATTTTATAAACTTTTCAACAAACTCTCTGCCAATTTCTGGCCATACTGTACGATGAGATATCTCAAGATATTTCAATTTTTTTAAACTCCAAGATATAATCTCGTTTATTGCATCAGGTAATAAGGATAATAATGTTGGTACAAAATGAACAAGCCACGGCCATAAACATGATGGATCCACATCTTCGGGTAAGATTGTAAAAATGTTTTGTACAGTCTGCATAGATACGTGTTTTACAAAATCCGGAAGATGTCTCGTCCAAATAAATGTAGCAGATTTTAGTTGACCCTGTACAAATATTAAACATCGTAAAGTACAATAAGACATAGCAATTCTTTTAACTTCACTTTTATATTGTAATGCATGTTCTAAATTATAATCGTGTACTACCATGCTTAAATAGGTAGTACATTCTTCCAATAAATTTGTTTGTGAAAATCGTATCCATTCTTGCATAGAAGCGTCGTTGTTCAACAACGTATCCACTTTAGTGTCTTGGATCATTTGGAAAGTCTCAAGTCGATATAAAGCGTCGTTCATTACAGATAGATAGGTATTCAATGAATCATTATTGATATTTCTTATCTGAAATGAATGAAATTCAATATAGAAACATTACGATATACACCAATTAAGAGAACATACAATATACCTGATTATTTTGCACTATTCTTTGTCGAGCATATGAATATATCCGTCTCATTTGTACGTAATCGGAAACGAGGGCTTTACTACAACATTCAACCACATACTGCATATCTTGTACTTTATCTAGAATACTTATCAATGTATCCACATTACTCGAATCCGGAACAGATTTTGCCCAGGGACTGAGCTGCTCCACGAGTAATGTTGCTTTAGAACAATAAATGGATTCCAGTGAAAGATTTAATTTTTTTGCAAAAGCTTCAGCTGCAGCGAATTGTCTCTTCTTCAATAATCTTGATAAACGTATTTCGGGAATACCTTCCAATAACGTTTTTATCCTAAACGTGTCAATAATACCAGTCTCCACAGATGTAATACCTTCTATGTAAAATAAATTATCAGAAGCGTGTAAAACCTTCAATAAATAAGTACTGGTAGGTACGTTGATTTCTAATTTCTGTTCAAAATCTAAAAGAAGTGCAAAGAATCTCAGTAATTTAAATTGTAAAAACCAAAATATTTGCAAATAAAAATAACATTTACCTGGGTAAGAAATAACATGCAATGCATATGAAGCACAATTATTCTTAGAATGCGTTAGAAACAAAATTTCACAGTGCTCAGCATCATCATGTTGTATTACACTAAAATCAAACACTGGCCCATCGCATACTTTCAACGTAAGAAATGTATTCAGACATATTATATTTAATGTATCATCAGTACGGAGACCAAGCATTTTACTAAAACAAAATACTTTTCATATATTACACAATTTAAAATGTAAATCTAAACATTAATTTATATTAGTATAATTAAAAATATATCTACCTGTTGCCATACAGTGGTTGTACCTTTTTATATCCAAAAGGAAATATACTTTGAAAAACAATATGTTGTTCACTAGGCCAAGTAAATATCGAATTTGTTCCAACTATAACTATCGATAGTTCTTCAGATGATACATCTACCGTAGCATTAAGAAACTGTAACACACTCTTCATCAATTGATTGTGGAAAGCAAAGAGCATGATATTTCTATAACTTAATTTAAATACACCCATGAAAGCATAAACAAATTAAAAAAAACATTACTTCCAAAGAAGCAAATCCTTCAAACAGCTGGAAACACTGAATTTCTGCTGTATATTGTGCTACCATAACTTGATCATTGCTAGTAAATGCAATCTCTAAAATTTGGGGATCAAATTTGGAGAATCTAAAATATTTATAAAACAGTTATAATATAATGAATTCAATAAAAAATAGCAGTATGGTAGAATATAACAAATAAATGCAATACCTGTAAATAGCTCCAGTATTTGTAACAAGAGTAATACATGTTTCTTTATTCTGTTCCTTCAAAAATATTTCTAGTATTTTATCCTTATTATCAGGTATAGTTCTGTAATCAGAAGTTATTGATAAAGATATCAGAATTATTTCTTAAATAAATTTAAAATGTACAAATCATTTTTCAACTAATACTTTGTTTTATATATATATGTATATATAAAAGACAAATATTTACTTAGTAAAAATTATTTTCCCATCTGATAAATGCAAACAGTATAAAATCCTGGTTGTGAGCACCACAAATAAAAAGAAACTGTCCTTGGAAACGCAATAACTGGCTATCATGGAGGGAAAGCTAATATTACATAATATTTCATCGCATGTTTCATCTTTGAAGATTGTAATTGACTTGTCAATTGTTACACAAATCTTAGAATGTTGAATGGATGCTATAACATGTGGTTGTTGCTCCACCTTAAAGCAAAAGATACACAAGTAATCTCAATAACGCATTATGATAATTTGTAATGACTATAACAATCATATTTATGATTTATAGCAACTAATGAATTTAAGTTAATATCACATTTAAAATGTCACTTTGTGCCACGCGTGTGCCTTTCGAAGGGATGTATAAAACATAAAAAAAAACTAACATTACAAATAAAACCACCTTAGGAACCAGTGTTTTGTTCTTAGCAAATGGTCTTGTCTTTTTTTTAAAACGTTAACAGAAAATGTCAAAGTGATGGTGCAACCGTCATATCGGGCCAATTACTTATATCTGTATTTACAAACAGCAGATCTCTGGGAGCATCTCTGGGACATGTTGACGGTTGCAACCATGTTAAGCAAATTAGAACCGGCAGATTGTTGTAACGAACAGGAAATACCTTTTCAATCGATTGAATCGTTGCCACAGTGCATGCCTCGTACAGCGAACCATTGTTTTCCGCGATTATCCGCGTTCCAAAGTTAACAGTCTCATCCTCAACATCAAACCCCGACTGTACTTTACTCCACAAAGCCATTTTCTACGATCGTGTTGATCGTACTAAATCGCACTCGATCGTTTCGTCTAGGCGCGAAAGATGGACGTGTTTTTTATGAGTTAATGCACCTTATATTCCACGGATGGCGCTGCGCAATTCCCATTTAAATTTAAACGTTGGCAATCGGTCAAAAGTTTTCCTAGTACGCCAAATTCTCGAAATTGCGTTTTTTTTCGAATTTTAGACGGAGCAATCTTCTCGCTGTTTATACGTTCGCTTGATATTTTTTCGACATTTGAGACTATTTTGATTTTTGCGATTTAAAATCCCTGCGATTTTTGGAACAATGGATTGCTCTACTGTCGGTAACTTACGTTTGCAGTACATGCATATAGGGTGCGTTCGGAGAGCTCATTCAGCTGTTATTTAGCGTCTAAGGCCTAGTTTACATTGATTATTTGATACGCGTATCAAATGATCGGTGTAAACTAGGCTAAAGAAAGATATAGATAACATTTTCAGCACGAACGTACTTTTTTTCGGTTTCTCCCTTTATAGATTCCATTGGCGCTCAAACAAGCATGGACGCTGGCTATTTGACGGCATTTGCTCTTCCATAGATTGAACGTCAAATGTAGTCACTGGTAGTCACGTTCGTCGAGCGTCAGCTGTTTGCGTTGTATCCGAGAGGTTATATGAATACTTAAGATACAGAAACTGTTTGGAGAAATACAAATATAAATATATTTTATAATTATACTTAACTGAATTCGTTGCAATTATGGGTGATACTACTTTCCTCGAAGTTGATGATTCTATTAGGGCTAAAAGTTTACTATTATTTGTAAGTATGTAAAGATTTATTTGTCGAGGTACATGAATAATGGTTATAATGCTCATTCTGTTTCCAATAGAATAAAGATACGGATACTTTAAATCAGCAGATGGATGAGTTGATGAAACAATTTGATTCGACGCCATCTATTCTTGTACAGCCTATTCCTGGTCTGTACAACATTTTGTGCGTTATTTGTTATAGATAAGAGCTTGTTTTACAATATATTAATTTTAGGCATCTGTGTGAAAACTAAAACAGTTAACAAAGAAAAAATCTTTATTAACGTATGCACATCTGATAAGATTCCTCCACCAGATGACATATCTGATACTAAACTATTTGAGCTTCTAAATGATGAAGTTCCTGCTTACGCTATACCGATGAGTATTGGCTTTGAAAGAATGGAAGCAGACAAATGTAAATGAAAACCTTCAATTTTTTCATCTATAGATAAAAGTCTTCTATTATGAAATAGGATTCTAATATGAGATAGCAGTTTTTCAATATCCAAAATTCAATCTCAAGTCTTTTTTCGCGACGATTACAAGGGCAGTAAATTCATGGTGAAGCCAATAGATTATGCCTATTAATTTAGCGGAAATTCCGTCATCTCATATTAGGAGGCTACTCTGTTGGAAATTGTCAGTTATAAAATATTGTTTCTCTTTATAGCTGGTACACCCAGTGCAACGTATGATGTTATGATGAATAGTGCATATTTACAAAAATGTCAAGAAAAGAAACATTTCATGGCGTTTACGATATTGGTTATATTAAGTGGTGTGGCGGATAAATTTAACAAAGATATTGATACAGAAAATTATATTATTCTTAAAAATCGTACGGTAAGTTTGTAACAGATGTAGTATACATTTAGCTGTTAAAACTTCTCAATGTTCATTTGCACTACTTCATTGTCATATATTGTTCTAGGTAATGGGAAAACTTCAACAACATAGAATAGAAAATCGTGAACTGAAAAAGCCACAAAGACCTAAGATGTTAATCGAGGAAATTCCGCATTCTATAAAACCTATCGACAAGACTGAACCACAAGATAGTGATACAGCAAAAACGGGTTATGTGATTTTAAGAGAACCAGTAAAAGGCCGAGCTGAGCGTTTAATTGCTTTATTTTACATGCCAAAAAGGGTTAGTCATAAAATTATGAAATGGAGTTGTTCTCTGTCTCCTATAATGGCATTTTCAGTTAGATAAACTAAATATAATATGCATTGTTACTTGCAGAGTTCAGTCGACAGCATGGCAGTGTTTATCAATTCTGATCGCATAAATGTGACAGATGAGAAAGCTTGCTGTTCACATGACGTTTTTCTTCCATATACGCTTCAAGTACATAGTGCGAAAGCTTTTTTTGATTACAATATTGGGGTGAGAATTTATATTATTCTCTTCTTTGGTATTACATTGTATAACTAATACAAGTATATGTACATTTTTTATTTTTCAGGTATTACGAATAGATGTAGTAGTAGATGGAAAAACAGAAAATGCTTAAAATCACTTTTATTTTTTGTGTCCCTTATTTCCAAAGAAAGTTTTGTATTTTATTAAAGTGAATAAAATGTGATTTTATATTTGCATTTTTAATAACACGAAGTTTAAAAAAAGACGTTTTGTCAGAAATATGTATATATTTTTTTTTAAAAATGTGAAAGTAAAAATAAATTATCTCTTGCTAAAATTACAAAAGTTCAATAAACAAACAAGATAGAAAATATATTTCACAGGGCAATATAAATTGAGTAACAAATGTAACATTTTTTATATCTCCGTGTAAAATGCTGGTCGTTCGATACCTATCACGCTAAAAACTTGTGGTAATACATACACTGTATTTACACCTATCATGAAACAAGATATATATTTGTAAACTAGGTCGACAAATACCTTATTTGGATTGCCATAATCTTGACACTTCATAAGTTCCCTCCAATTAATTCGTAATATGCCACATAATACAATATAACTAACAGATTTGCTTAAGACTTTTGTAGCAGCAACGCCAGAAAAGCCAAGTACAGTTCTAATGATTAGACAACCGAACATAGAATACGTTGGCCAAACGATATGGAATGGTGGCAAAGATTGCGATGCCCTTAATAAACCAGTACAATAATTAAGCCATGCTCCTGCGTGAACTCCTGCTGCGACTGACACAACCATGGCAGTGTCGCTTCTGAAATAAATTACGAATCACAGATACATATAAGCTGGAAGTCGTAGTCGTGTATATGTATATATATCAACGTCATAGTTGCCAATTTATCTACCTAGTGGGTGTCCATTTGTTGCTGGATGGATAATATACTATAGTAGCAATACTGATTGCAATTAGCATCGCTAGGAGCCAAAAATTCGTTACAACATAAAAATTTGTAACACTCACTACGGGTACCAATAGGATCATTAATAGAATCGCTAGTACTAAGCCGGCCACAATATCTAGCACAGTATGCATACCTAGGTACAATCTGCTCATACTGACAAGTAAACACCTGGAAGAGTGTCTTGTACGTTACTGGGTTCAATCATTTTACGTTAATAGAGGAAGGTCCCCTAGTATGGGATAAGCTCTTAATACGAGACGTGGGGTTTCTGCTAAATAACAGTCATCATCTGGTTAGATCGTGTAATCGTTGCGAAAAAAGATTTGCGATTGAATTTGAGCGTTGAAAAACCTACTATCACATATTAGAATCCTATAATAGAGGACTTTCCTCTACAGTTTGACAAGTAAATATTGTTGTGATACAGCAATTGACATGTCACTTACCAAAGAAATGCAATACTGCAGCCGACGGAAAATGGATAAATATATTTGTTCATTGTAAATAATACTACACTAAATGGTATCGTCAAACCAACCATGGCATGAGTGGATGGCATTCCATATTCTTGCGACCATTTATTTTGCAATCTGACTGCAGGAGGACACGCTGGCCTAGGCCAACATATTACATCTTTGAGTATCTGTCCTGAAAATGCATACGGTAAACTGAAAAGATCTAAAGCTGCCATACTACAGTTACTTTTAATTATCAACTGATTATACCAATAGTCATAATAATGGCCCATACTAAGATTACTTTTTGTCCGATGGCTCCATCAATATTCCAAAATAGGAAAGGTATAAAAGTTGAGTAGAAAATCTCATCCCCTAACTCGGTACCGAACACAAACGTATAGTACCAAAAGAAATTATCGATTGTATAAGTTGGATTATCTGAAGCTTCTGTCAAAGCTGTTTGTTTCATCGTTGGCACGTTTGTCCCGTGCTTCAGAGGGCTCGTGTTGGATTGTTTGCTGTTTATATCACAACCGTTTAGCTTTCTACTATGGCAAGTTGAAATATAATTTTCTTCATTGTCATCAATTTCTGTGTAAATGTACTTTTTCTCTTCCTCTTGGAATGTCTTGTTATCCTTATCGTAATGTATCCTGACACCGAAAAATCGTTGAATCAATGCGACTAGGTGAGGGTCTCTTAAGTAATCCATTATTCCCATTTGTTTCAATGTTATTCTTATTGGAATTAGCTGGTTGATTTTTGTTTTTTCCCCCTCTCTTTAAAGAGTTTTTAATACAGCTTTCTCATGGCCACGAGCATCCCGCCGAACAACCTGCAAGAAGTAATTTGTTAACGGCCTCAAATATGGTGTAACTCGACGCAATATAACTCGAATAACTAATCGATAAAAATAAATTTCTTTCGGTAAAAAAATGCCAACTGCTCACTTTCCCCTCACCAATTTCACTCTCATCAGATTTTCTCCGCGTTCGTACTGCAACACGCGAAACAACGAAGCAACGATAAAAAATTATCGCCGCCGCTATGCAAGAAAAAATGCTGTACAATTGCCGAGAGCGGCGTATTTTAAGGTTAAGTGATCTGTTGTATCGACCGAATGCACGATAGTAGGCATGCGCGGTGATAGCATTTCGGTATTCGCCCCCCATTGACACGATTTTAATTTCTTCGCAGCGCTTTTACGGTATTCCCAATAATAAATGTCGAGCATCGCTTTGTTTACAGTACATCAGCGGCTGGGGTGAGATTAGGTTAGGGGTTAGGTTAGGCTAAGGCGCACTAACAAGGCGGGGATAATGGAGGAGTGCTGACTATTGTACGCGACGAATAGCTACCAATCTACTATTTATCTAACACCTACTAACGTATTAGGAACGTATATAGTGCGATATTTATTACGTAACGCTAAAAATCATCCCAATTCAATGGGATCTAGCTCGACTTATCGTTTACGTGTCTCGATGTCCCCGTTACAGCGATCATCCGAATGAGAGCGATTTTACGCGTTCGGGTGAAATACGGAGGACCAATTGAATTTAACTGGAAATTGAACTCGAGGGGCGTTTTGCGGACGTGCGGTACGGCAAATCGCCTTTATTTCTCAACTTACCGAGAGCACACCAGTCATATCCGAACGTCGAATAAGCCTCGAGCGAGCTGGCGGGACGATGTGGATTTATGTAACGATTCAAAGAGGTTGGAGTTGATCGGACGATTGCTACGATCTCTCGGCCCCGGGAATTATATATCGTCCGCGTTTAAGTGGCAAAAAAGCACGTACGTTCGCAGGGCCGCCCACGTCAGCCATGTCTAGGAGGACGGGGGAAGGACAAATTTTCGGCCGAGGCGCAAAACCGGTTCGCTCGCGGTGTCCCGGCGACGTGTGACGAAAAACGCGCGGTCAATAAATTAAATTTCTATTCTTTACTCGCGACGCGCGTGAGTAATTGCACTGGAATCCCTATCGGTCGAGCGACGTGTGTCCACGAATCACGTACGTGTACCGTGCTGGATGACCGACGAGTTGCCTCTTTATCGCGTACGTGGTACCTCCTGTCAAACGGTTTCCCGCCCTTATGCCCATTCTACACCTAGGGATGATCCTACTTGTGGCTCATCCGATACTCGCTTCTATACCTAAAGCTAATCCTACTTGCAGTTTATCCGAGGGAGTAGTATAAAGTGTAAAAGGGTACACTGTAGTTGTACTTTGGTACGATTGGAAACCAACCAAAGTGTAAACCTTTTACACTTTATACTACTCCCTCGGATAAGCTGCAAGTAGGATTAGCTTTAGGTATAGAAGGGAGTATCGGATGAGCCACAAGTAGGATCATCCCTAGGTGTAGAATGGGCATTATTCCAATCGCGTGGGCACGCAACGAAAGCGAACAGCTTACCACGTAAATCGACTCCGACGTGATTCCGCGCTACGGCAGGAAATCGCACGATACGACGGCAAGAGAGACAGAAGACGTACGCTGCTCAATTTACATGACAAGCTCTTTTTTATGAGATACAGTCGTTGACGGGCGCATAATTATCGCCTATATAAAGTTAAACGTATTCAGCATGTGTAGTTTCAACGATGTCTTACAAAAAAAAGTTGTTGCCAAGCGACACTTTTTGTCGTACGTCGTATAATCCAAGTACCGACTCGAGGTAACTCGGGTCGACATGGTTGTCGGTAAAGTCGCGTGCGTCCGACACCGACGCACGATGATTCATTTCCCGTGCAGATATAATAATCTCGACAATCATTAGGAGCTTAGTAGGGCGGAAAGCATCGTCCGCGAGGAATAATTCTGTTTGGCGCGAATGAACGGGGCGGTTCGCGGCAGATCGGGCGGCAAGCGAGGTTAGCGAGGTTAGCCGTTGACGAACGGCTCGCAGCGACCCTAGACTAGGGTGTTCGGCGGACGTCATTAGGCTGGGACGGAGAGGCAGAGGCAGAGGCAGAGCCGACCGACATACACGCCTCGTCATGCACTGACGTTGGAAATAGTGGCGTGATGTGCGAAGGAATTCCGATCGATCCCGCTCGGGCTCGGACTTGGCACTCTTGGCAGTCAGTCAGTCACACGACGGACGTGCGTCGCGTCGAGTCGCGCGACGTCAGCGTATAGACGTCGTATCTCGATAGCGCGGCATGCGCCGGCCTATTAAGCGCCACGAGTCCGTCGATCAGTGGACCCTCCTCCTTGACTAATCGCTCGCCGTACTTTGACCGTGTCGTGAGACAATCGTGCTCAATCCCGCGCATCGGATCGTCGCACCGTTCTCTTCGCTCTCGTTCACCTTCTGTCCGTTTCTCGCCGCCGCTCGGAGGGAGTCGGCCGCGACGACGCCCGACGCGAGAAAAGGTAAATACGCCCCGTCTACTTGCATTTCTTCACCTTCTCGCCACCTTCCCTTGTTCTTGTCACGAAATCCGACTGTGCAACTCCCGTCATTCCGTCCGCGAGAGGACACCAAGAAATGCGGCTGTTGCGAGGTCAAAAAAAAACATCGGTCAGCCGAACACACGTATTACACGTATTACTCAATTGTAGCAGCAGCATTCATTGCTTCGACTGTTGTTGCGCCATACCTGGAAAGATAAATAATCACTTTGCATGTGTTTACAACCTTACGTCGCTTTCGAAAACTGTCCTTGCAAAGAGTGTTTACGCTACGAGACATTTCAAAGACGGGTATTGATTCGTCGTAGCGCGCGACGAGAGCTGCTCGATTGAGCGCGAAAGTTATTTTGACATTCCGCTATAACGCATCATTTATAAATGGAAATTTCAGTTGGCCAACAAAACAGGAAGACGGTCATTAAATCGTCTTCTCTATAGAAACGAGGCACGTGGAAGCAACTCGCGAGTCGCTTCGCTTCCTAATTTATAAATTTATTAAGTTTGTCCAGATACCAGTGCCAAGGAGTAGGACGTTTAAAGAACAAAGTCTTTTTCAGACTCTCAAATTATTCAGCAAGAAAAATCGTGCCAAGGTCATTTGAAAAGTTTTTTTTTTTCCGGACGTTACGAGATGCTAAGAAAGGCCGAAGTTTGTCCAGATATGAATGCCAAGGAGGAGGATGTTTAAAGAAGCAAGTCGTTTTCAGGCCTTTCAATTATTCAGGAAGAGAAATCGTGCTAAGGTGCATTCGAAAAGTTTTTTTTTCCTTCGGACGTTACGAGATGCTAAGAAAGGCCGAAGAAGTCCGTGCGAAAAAATCAATATGCCTTTCAGATAACTCTAAGTACATGTTTTGTATTCTCGCGCTAGTCGCGTAGAAACCGGTTCTCTTTTCTTTCTCTTTAACGTTCGCGTTCAATTTCATTTCATAGGAACGAGAAATATCCTCGAATAGCCGTGTGGAAAAATCGTCGTCGCGATCGATCGAGCGTGATCTTCCATGAGCGACTACGTGCGTTTCTGGTACCGCGTCGCGTTACCCTCGCAAGAGAGCGTGGCCAAGACAAAAATATATCTCGCGATCAGTAATACAACGAATCAAGCGTACACGTGATATATGATGAATTTCGCGCGCTCTCTCTCTCTCTCTTTAAACCACATTTAGGGATTCGTCTCGTTGGCTCGATCGCAATTTTCTGCACTATGTAAGCCTCTAACTTCCGACTGGAGATCGACTCGATCAAGAGTCACGTCTCAATTCTAGCTCTTTCTCCATTACTTTCGTCGATTTTCAAAATATTTACAAAGCTTGCTTGCCCAGTGCTGTTACAGTTCTTGCAATTTAACAACACGCTGGAATAATAAATTGGAATGTTATTTTAGAGTTTCCACTCGTGTCAAAACAATTATAAACAATTTCCCGCGTTGACTCTTCCTAATGCACTTCTCAACATTTCGCAATAGACTAAATTGTTTCGTCTATATACGGCAAGCTTCGTGTCAAGAATCAGCATTTATTCCGATTGATCGCAACAATTTCGTATATATTGCAAAATAACTTGTTACGTCCCAAGCGACGCTCAAACAGCTCGTTGTTACGTAATTCTAAATAATCCATCATTTTTAACATAAAAGTTGCAAGAATATCTATTTGTTATCTATCACCTCCCGCTCCCCCTTTCTCCGCAAGGTTCAGTTTATCTTCGTTACAAACTAACCGATTATCAAACCATAGTTCAAAAGTATCATTTGACTCAGCGCTAATTTATTTCTTGATGTTTTTTTTTTGCAGTATTGTACTATAATACAATTCAAAATGGCATGCTTCGCAGCTATTAATTTTCGAACGTAATTATACAATTTATTCATACGTTACGTATTCATACATTCATACATATCGTTCAACGTATCATTTGAATGTACATATTTTTTCATTTAATGATTATCCTTATCTTAAAAAAATGTTTAAAAATTAAATCTGTTTTATTTTGTGTAAACTTGTGTGTAAAACTTACGCGTGTCGAAACTTACGAGTCAGCATGATCAATAGCATAACTTGCCGCGTAATGTTTGGTAATATTATAGCATATCTGGTCACAAATGCTTACATGTTTTTCAAATCGTTAATGCAGCGTAAACACTAAAGCGATTCGATGACAGAGTGCATCTCAATGTACACACGAGTGCGGTGAATTAGCGCCTTTTCTGCGCTTAATTTAAAAAGGAATCTGGGAAATAAATTTTCTCGATGACCAGAGAGACGCGCCGTTCTAACATACACGTGATTCATTATGACGAATATTCTTGATACTTTCTATCGTCAATATCTTTCGATTACATTCCTGCGCATTAGGCGCATTTCTGCTACAACTTCTACCGTGTGTGCTTCATCCCGACTTTCAAGTATCCAGTACAAACGCAAACATTTTATTTACAGATTAAAGAGATGTTTTCGAAATGGAGTTGGATTGCTTTTAATCTCATTGTCTACGTAACCACTGCCCCACACAACGGAACTTTCCTGAAGACAGAAGCTAGAGCTTTCTTCGAATTAATCGAGTTAGATTATGAAGATGTGTGTTACAACAATGCCAATGTTCAGTGGTCATTTATGGTGTCACCTTCCAATAAAACATTGTCAACATGGGTAAATATATTTAAGTTGTTGATTAATGCCTGATAAAAAAAACTTGCTTTCCCACACATAAGACGGAGATACACGTTTGTCTCGCTGTATTCTAGGAAACACAGGAGTATGGTTATACGGAATTTACAAAAACGCGAAAAAACGAAGTGATCAATAAAATACAGAATACAAAAGAACAGCTAGAACCAGCACTTCAATATAAATACGATGTGATTGAGACACCTGGCGACACGCTGCTAAAAGACGAAGATTGGAAGAAGGTAAGAGATTCTTTTTGGGTTTCAATTAATAGTTTGAGACTTTTGAAATTATATTACAATTATTTCCCATGTAGCTTGTACATTTCGCTGGCGTTGTGGAATTGCAACGGTCAATTATCAGTCATGTGAATAAGTCGCACAACTATTCGAGACAAGGTATAATTTTATTAATCACGTTGTGTGATAATAATTCAATGTAATTATAAGCTTTATGATACAACTTATTAGCTTGTAATCGTATGACTTCAGATGTGGAATATTTGCTCTCTCATAGTGGAAAACTCAAGGATAAGCAAATTGCTTGGAACGCTTGGTATCGCCAATATGTATCATTAGTAACCAATTACTCGAGCAATTTACCACTCCTTGCTGAAGCTGCACAACAAAACGGTTAATATCAATGTGAAAATATTATGTGGACAATTTCTATGCAAACTTCATAATGTATATTTGAATGAGCGTAACTTTCAAATATAAAATTATAGGTGCGAAAAATGTTGAGGAATATTGGGAAATGCTGTCAGGATATTCTGGCGGATATGATAAAATAAACAGTGAATGGAGTCGGATTAATAATCTTTATGGAAAGATTGTAAAATTTATTGGTACAAACTTGGCTCGAAAGTATGATATTACTATAAATGATACACTTCCGGCTTATTTACTCGGTAAGATAACAATGTGGGAGAATTTATTGAATTTGCTATTAGTGTGTTAAAGTAGTCGTAAGTATTAAAAAAAGATTTGTCATAGAATAAGTATAAAAACAGATCTTCCATAAATTTGGAAATTAAATCACTTTTCAGTTTTTGTGCTTTTACGTAAAGGATTGCGTAAATGTAAAAGAATTGTGTACGCAACAGCAAATAATTTTTGTAAATTTCATTTTTGTATTCTATACTTTTACTCTGCAAATTGAATCTGTGTGGTTTCATTCGAAAGGTAGTTTACAAGGATACGACTGGACGGATATATCATCAGACGTGTTACCCAACTCAGAGTTGATCTACAATCTCAAAAAAAATTTGTGGGGAAAGGTAAAGATTACTGTTTCGTGCTATGCTAAACTTATAGATTATAATCAAATTTTTGTAATAACACCTGAAATTTTCTTATATAGAAATATGTGGGGAAATCTCTATACAAGACTGCATCCAGCTTGGGTTCAATACTGTTGAAGCAAGTTCCGCAAGCGGAATTTTGGGATAAGAGTGAATTTAACCGACAGTGCCCCTCCAGACTATTGAACTTTTGTCGAGATGGTACAATGAGGTATGTGTATCGAAATTTACGATTTCAAAACTTTAATAACACTAGTCTCCGCCTAGTGTTATGTATATTTCTTACAGTTTAATAGTCCTTTACTAAATTAAAATATTATTTTAGAGTTTCTACCTGTTCCAAAGCTACAATAAGCAATTTCTTGACAGCGCATGAAGATGTCGGCAAGGTACTATTTAATCAAATGACTGTAGAAAACACTCCCGTTCTCGATACAGTTAACAGATATTCCGGTAAGGAACGATTTATTAGACACACGCGTCAATTATCTGTAAAATGTTAAAATAACTCGATATTAAAAATATTTGGTCACACAGGGTTAGAAGAAGGTATATCGACACTACTTGGAATACTATCGGCAAGTCCTGCATGGCTCAGCCATACTCATTTAATGAATGCTACTACGGATAATGACCAACAAATTGTGTCTTTAATGATAACCGCTCTCAAGATACTTCCACGATTAGCCTATTATTACTCCGCTGATTTATGGAGATTAAATGCGATTCAAGAGAATATCACAGATCCGGCAGAATTGGTAGCATCTTGGTGGAAGTACAGGTATTATAACACTTGTTAGCAATTGATATTGTTAATATAACTGTAATATTTTAAGTTTTAATTATGTATGCCAGGCAACAGTACGAAGGTGTCTCTTCTACTAATATGGATAATCCAACATTCATGGATGATAGTCATATTGTTAGAAATAGACCATATCTTCCGTAAGTGTACTAATGAAATCTACAATTATCGTATCTATCACGGCAATAACGAAAAATATTCTTTCAACGCAGCAAAATTCTTGGAACGATGCTATCTTTTCAATTATATGAGTACAATACGGATTCAACCGAAGTCAGATACAATAATATCGATGGAAAGTTAATGCACAGTAATATCATGTAAGTTGGTATAACAATATATGCATTCTAGATACATTTCTATGTGAAGAAATTGCTCTCGATTAAATCTTTATTAATTCTTCTATGTCTAAATATAGAAAAATGATTCAACACAGTGGGACTCGCAAGTGGCAAGATGTCCTGAATAAATGTGTCGACATAGACGATATATCCGCGGATGCGCTTGTTTTGTATTTTTCACCGCTGGAAGAATTCATCGAAGATCACGAAGAAAATTTCGAGTATATATCTGGAGCGACGGCGGATAAAGAACTTGAAGAATTGGAGAAACATATTTTGCGAGAGATCAACACTCCCACTACGACGCCCCCGCCTACTACTACTACCGCACACAGAATAACAACAAAAGCGACATCGTACAAAACCAAAAGTGACGTGAAAAATATGCAATCAAAGGGAGAAAAATCTTTAGAATCGAAATCATCCATATATATGGAGGATAAGCCGAGAAATCCCGGATCGGACTCACCAACACAAGTTCCTTTCAACAAATCATCATCATTGTCGTCACCCATGCCCGATCTTGTAAACGACATAGATAATAAAACAGTAGAGATTGGTACTAGTAAAGCGGTATGGGCCGTAAGCGCAGTTCTCATCGCGATAGTAGTCATTAGTATCATTGCGATTTTCGGAAGACGAAGATGTCGTAAAACGCCAAAAAATAGACGGTACGTTTAACAGTATACATTTTTGTTACTAAATATATTTATTTCTCGCATTTAGGAGAATATGATCATGTAACTTATTATCACAACAACGTCTTTTTTCATTAAGGGAATCATTTTCTAATTTAATCGCTCTTTCGAGTATTCGACAACATCGTGCATTCCTTAGTAATGTTCCTTGTACGCTATGTCCATTTCTTTGGACATTACTAATCAATTAGCTCAATCACGTTTGCCTTGTATCTCTACCTCCAAATCTTATTCAGGAATGAGCTTTCAGCTACTCCTCTGATATCACAAAAGTCTTGATACTAGATGTATTTGTCGATTCATCCATCAATTATCCTATCATTCTAGGTAATTGCAACAATTGCAACATTTATACGATTAGTATCGGGCATAAAGGATCCTAAACGAACGAATTACAATTTTTTACACACTCATTGATGTAATAACATCAATATATATATGTATACAAAATATGGTTATTGTATACATGTGTGTGTGCGCGTGTGTGTATATATGCACGCACACGCACACACACACGTGTATATTTCCTGATTTGTAATGCCAAATCTATACCTCAACGACTGGTTTAGTGCTCCCTAGTCATATTATGATTATAGCACGTGTTAAGAAGTTATACAGGTGTTGTATATAATTGATAGTTGCAAAGAGACAAGAGAGTGTAGGTAATTAAGATTATAGAGCTTTTATACATAATGATAAGAGTCATTATGTAAGGTTTAATATTTCAGCGTACTTAGTATAAGTAGACTATTTTCCTATAAATATTATAGTATTGTCTTCAAGTATCGTGCTTGTGCGTTGTTTACATATCACTGTGAAAAATTTATATTTTTTTATCTTGTACATCTTGTCTTGTACCTATCTGTTTATAGAACAATAAAATATTCCATAGTTAAAACATGATTCGATAATCAATGCGATTGTGCCAAAGAAATCGCGTGGTTTTGCTTATAACTACTTAAATTATATATATACACACATAATTGAAAGTATAAGAATAGTAGAAGTACAGAGTGAAACATACTGTATCTATTAATTACATAAATAAATATTTCATTATTCAAATAAAATGTTAATTGTATCTCTACCTCATGTCTGTGTTAAATGTGAATCTTGTTTCAACTTTCTAAAAAAAAATATATATATATATTGCATGAAATTAAAAGTGAAATAAACTGTGGAGAATGTTTGTTGATTCGGATAAAACTTTTCAGAATTCCCGTATATCTGATGATATACGGCTGATATAACTTAATCGATGAGAAATAATCTATTGATGCGACGTTAAATGAAGAAGAAAAGATCTCGACAAGTAACAGTAAGTAACAAATGACTCAAATTGTCAAATTGAAACTAAAACATTTCTGTTCGACATCGGTATTCTTCTCCAAGTATGTACATCCGAGAGAAATAATTGAGCATTCGGTCAATTACATGAGTATTATTCCCAGATATGAGTGCAAGAAAATGCGGTTTATTAATTCTGAATGGACAACCGTCTTGACGTTCGTAGGTGCATGAAGGAGGCGAAGCTCGAGGTGGAAAGAGGGATCATCCCCCTTTCGCAGAGGCATGCGCGTTTGCAGTTGCACGAGGGTTGTCGCGACCAGGGAGGGGTTCTGGCTTCGATTCCAGTGACTCGGAATATACATTTACGAAAGTGTGTCTCGTCCCGAGATTTGATAATCGGCCAATAACGCGCGACGTTGTACTTGGTCGAATCACGCCGTGATTTAACGAGAGAGCATTTGCCGCAATGTCCTAATGTACGCGTTGATCGTGCGAGCGGCATCAGCTGCTCCCTTCGTCATGAACGTGAGTATGTTGGTCGCTTCTGATATCGACTAGTTTCGGTCGCGAGGCAAGGCGAGGTGAGGTGAGGCAACGCGAGCGTACCTGGGCGTTTTTGCGTTCTCTCTTGCGTCTTTTTCGCGCGAGATCGCGATTTCCGCGAGTGGCTACAGCGAGATTCGTGTTTCGGCGTATCATCGGGATCATCTCTCTCTCTCTCTCTCTCACCCTCTGGCCATCGAGGGAGTCATCAAGATGTACAAGCGTGATACGTCATTGACCTCGAAAGTCCTCTGTAAAATCGATGAGGAGAGATACCTTTTAAACCGGTGGTGGAGTCCCTCGTGCGGTTCGTTGTATCTTTGAGAAACTGCGACGCATCGAGCAAATGCACCGAAAACTCTTGCGATACATCATTCATGTGGGAATATATCTCTAACGAATCGGTTTCCGCTAGTAATTCAGCTTCTGTTTCTTTCCAGCGACTGCTTTGCTCCGCTATAAATAATGTATCGATTTCTCTGCAGAGACGACTCTAAATTTGAAAACTTTATTCATTCACTCACACGGATTCTAACTTGATATACATATATAATCGCATTAATTACCGCTGCATAAATTATTCTATCGGCTTTCATCTCTAATTATACATCTTTCTGACAATCATGAAATCATATTTTATGCATTCCTCAACTTTTCATTAGAACAAGAGAACAAGTGTTTCGTAAAAGATGTATTCTCTAAAATTCGGTTTGAAAGAATTCGATTGTTGCTTTCGAACAATTTTAATCTCAATCGGTTCGAACTCACCGACCGCTAGATACTCTCACCCAGTGACACGAGGAAAGACAGTCCATTGTTAATCAATTATATGTTAATTAGTTCCGAATATTCTGAAACCGAAATCTAAAGTCCAGGCCAGTCACGATCGCAGCATTTAAAAATATAAATATCGTTCAAGCGGTGCGTTCCAATTTCGAAAATGCATCGAGATGGAATCGCGATTCTAGCGAAACAGTGGCGATAGCGTAGAAAGAGGTGTAAGTTATCGTATTAATGACTAGAGGAAAGTCTTCTATTATGAGATAGGTTTTTAATATGAAATAGCAGGTTTTCAACATCCAAATTCAATCAAACATCTTTTTTTCGCAACGATTACACGATCTAACAATTAATTTTCCACTAAACAAATTGCGCTCCAAGGACAATAAATTCATGATGGAGTCAGTCCATGATGCCTATATTATACCCTGCCGGAAATAATTCTATAAACACTATAAAATATACTCAAGGAGAACACATAAGTCAAAATGACATCTTTCAAAACTTATAGTTGTATCAGTCATGATGACGTTATTATGGTTCTTGGCAAACATGGTTTTGTGACGTCATAAAGGCGTCAAAATAAGGTCTTCTTGACTTTTCTCGTGACCTTTTTCCTACGTAGTATACAAATTAATAATATATTTATATTTAGGATTATATTAAAAATTATTTTTTAATAATTTATTATATTAAAAAAACAAAGACATATTTTTCTCAGAGAATGAGAGAATTCACATTTCTTTTTCAACAATGTATATGTATATATCTATATATATATAATTTTTTGTATCTAGAATATATTATACTATAAAATTTTCAACTTATACGTATATATTATATATGTATGTATATATACGCATATACATATAAGATAATTTCAATGAATAAGTGCCAGGCAATCTCCTCTCAAAAAAATTACATTTTCGGAAATATGCATATTGAATTAAAATTCGTCAGAAAGTCAAAATATCGTTGTATAATGATTGTATGACGAGTCACTGTATACTCATTTTGAAGTGATATAGTTTCAGTGATCAAACTCTGATGTTTTCCCGTCATCTCGAAGTCACAACGACATCATTTTGACTTTTTGTTCTCCTTGAGATAACTGCCAGAATCTAAGAGATTCTACGTAAATTAAAAAAGTGTTATAAAAATCAACATGGAAATACTCGAATTTCGTTGTTTCTCTAATTTTTACAAAATTGTACATTCTCATGAAATACTACTTGCAATAATTTCTTGATTTGAGAACATTGTAATTTATGGTACTACTTCGTAGATATTTTTACAAATGTTAGGGGACTTAACATTATCGTAACCACTGTCTACAGATAGGGGTGACGTTAACAATTGAATTAGAATTTTTACGTGGTCGGGCCTCACGCAAGTAGGAAGCGAGAGACTCGTATCTTATCGTTAGCACCTTCAATCACCACGTTCCATTGTCTCTACTTGCAGCGTCATCATTAACGTCATTCACGCGGCTAACGTACTGGATGGAATTATGGAAGCCTGTGACGTAAAATACAGCAGCTTGCAAGCCGATTACCGTTGAACCAAGTCATTGGAAAACGATCGTCGCTTCTAACAACGGTTTCCACGACGCGGTGGATCCCGTCAATCCGGCAAACAGGTTTGCACCTTCTTCCGTATTCATTCGTTTCGTACTTCCGTTCTGTTACTCGATAATTTTGGTCAAACTGTCACTACAAATACTTGCAAGTATTTTTCTTTCTTTTTTCTTTCAATAAAGATAAAAGAAGAAGAGAGACGCCTCGAAGCATTTGTAGCGGCAGTCTTTATTGGATAATTAAAGCGATTGCGAGTACAAAGACGCGTGGGCCAAGTTATCTTATCTAAAACTTGGACAATTTTTTAAAATAAACAAACGTGAACAAATGTCATTTTCAGGTGTTATCAACGGGCATTGTTCGCGGCGCCGGAAATTGAATTGGTAAGTCAGACCCTCTTGTTTATCAGCAGACGTCAATAGATTTCTCGCGTGACGATAAAAGAGAAAGCTGCAGATGCGCGAAATTTAATCCGTGCGCAAGTATGTACGTCATCGCGGTACATCACGTGTTTAATTATAAGATGAACCATTTACGTTACGCGATTCTCGAGAATCGCGCATTTCTGCGGCATAAAAAGAAAATTTCGAATGTGCTACAAATGCTGGAGATTAAATATGTCTCTCGCAAATTTTATTTCACATTTTCACGCAATTCGCAACAAGTCTTATCCCGGCGAGAAATGACTCGTCGATCGAAACAATGTCGAGTCGACATCGACGTGTCGTCGAGCACACTGTGCGTCAGCAAGAGGCGAACGCTGATCGAATAAAGTGAAAATTTTCTTCGCCTCCTGGATCGACCGAGGTCGAATTTAACGAGGCTTTCGAATCGCGTGTCTTTCCTCCCCGCAAATACTAGAGTACATGTTAAACGCGATGTCGCGTGCAGTCGTTGATACGAGATCGGAGATAAAAAGCGCAGTTTCGCTGCAAAGATCGAACGATACCGTGGACTTATCATAACAGTTTTTAATGAAATATAGCCCCCCCCCCTCTCTCTCTCTCTCT